AACATCTTCACCAGAAATAAGTACATATGGGCACCACATTTTTGAATCTCCAGAATAGTGAGTTAAATAAACCTCTTTGTTTTATAAAATACCTAGTTTCTAGTACTTTGTTTTAGTAAAAGAAAATTGATTAAAGCAATTCCCAAACTCTAGACTTGTATATACTGTACATGGAATCTAAAAAGATCAAACTCACGTAAACAGAGAATAGAATGTGGTTACTAGAGGCTGGAGTAGGGGTGGCAAGTCAGGGAGATTTTGGTCAAAGGATGAAAAATTTCAGATATGTGTTAGCTATCACTGTGACCGAATACCTGAGACTACTTGAAGAAAGAAAGATTTATTTGGGCTCATACTTGCAGAGGTTTTAATTGATGAGTGACTGGTCCTACTCACTGTGGGCCTGAGATGAGGCAGCACATCTTGGTAGAGAGGCACATCAGAGGAAAGCTGCACACACTATGGTAGGAAAGGTTAGAGCCCTTTAGGAAGGGCCCATCTCCTGTTTCCATCATTTTCCAATCATATCATCAAATTATGGCCTCATCAGTGAGCTAATCCTCTGATAAACTCAGAGCCCTTGTGAACTAGTCACTTCCCAAAATCCCTGCAGCACCCAAACTTTCAACATAAAGACCAGGATGGGGAAGCATTCTGAATCCCATCAATAACAATAAATAAGAGGAGTAAATTAAGAGATATATCATATAATATGCTGACTACAATACTTGTATAATACTATCAGAGGTACCTATATTCAACATTTTCACTTATTTAGCTAGTTCTTTCATCACCATACCACCAATCTACTGACTATTAGAAAAACCTATTTATTTTGTTTTCAAAACATATTGTTATTGGCACGCTTTTCTCTAATGAATGTTGGGCAAGCTCTGTTGTTCAGTCTCATTCCTTTAATCCTCTGCTCTGCCTCAGATCAGAGGTTTAAGCGGCTGGTGCTGGAAACATGAATACTATTTAGAACCAGAAAATAAAGAACTGCATGAGAACAGAGGAAGTTTGTGGTTCCTTCTTAAAATAAGCATTGGTAGGGATATCAGCTATTCAGACTTTCATAACAACTGAAGAAATACACTCATTTAACTGTCATAATTCATGAACTAAAGGGAGGGAAAAGGTGTTCAAAACTCGTATCTTTGACTAGGTCTTAATTACTTTGCACACAAAGAGACTGGTATTCTTGCTGCTATTTAAAGAAAAACTATTCTCTATTCAAAAATTAAAGCCTGTGGGCCAGGGATTTAGCTCAGCGGTTCAGTGGCCTGCCTTGCAAGCTCAAGGACCCGAGTTCAATCCCCGGTACCAAAAATAAATTAAAGCCTGGAGACGGAACATCAACTGGGCTCAATGTTCCAGAGATAAATCAATTTTAAAAATGTAAAAATTCTTACACAGCACTCTGATGATTTTCATAGAAGTTGATTTAAAAGTGAGAGTATTCAAGATGCAGGTGTTTTGAGTTGTTTTGTTTTGAATAAATAATTGTCTTAGACTCTTCCAAGTGTTTTATGAAAGATGTGAGCGGAGAAGCTATTACTAACAATTTAAAGATAAGAAAATCGACACCTCAGAAAAGTTAAATCAGCTTGATCAAGGATATACAGCTAATAAAGGAATTCATACTAGAAATAAGCCTTTCAGACTCTAATTTTAGTTTCCTTTTGCTCCTTTTTCTGTTCCTCATTTTCTAGGTTTTTACACTGAGGCTAAATAATAAGCTGATTACAAACAACTGCAATGGCCCGGTAATATTAGTGCACTAAAAAGATGAAGTCCAGAAGATAGGAAAACCATGAAACAAGGTGTTATCATCTTTCCATTTAATCAGGATGGCTTTGAGCCTACAAAGGAAGAGGCTTGATGTACAAAAAAAAAAAAAAAAAAAAAAAAAAAAAAGGATGTGTGACACTTAGAATTCTAGAAATAGCTATCCTAGATTAAAAAACAACCCTGACCATTTCCTCATAGGAAGGCATACACTAGATCATGGAGCACAACAGAAGACTGTGGACTCTGTCATGGGTTCAAATCCCACCTCTGTCACTAAGTCATTGCACAACTTTGAACTAAACCACTTATCTAAGCCTTGTTTTCCCCAAGTAGACAATGTGTAAAAATACAGCAACTATCTCATACAGTTGCTGTGGATTCAATTCAATTATATTCAGTTCAATTCAGTTCAGTTATAGTAAAGTCTTTGGTATTCCTGGGAACGTGGTAAATGGAATCTCTTGCTGTGGTTTTTTTCATAAGGAGATAATTCTAAGAGGTTATTCATGGTGGCCTCCAGTTCCAGAAATTAGAAGTGGCTACTTCTTTCCATGACCTAGCTTTTAGTTCAGAAAGTAATCCCTGATGTTTTATCTATGATCATCAAAAAATTTGGAGATAGAGGAAAGTCTTGACTTAATTTACTGTGTAATTTTGAATCAATAATTTCTTGTCTTTAGTTTCATACCTTATCTGTGATTTGAGGATATCAATTAGATTTGAGAGTTGTTTTAAGGACTAAATAAAATAGATGGGTAAACTGTGGTATTTTTGCATAAAAATCTCTGTAGATTAAAAAACATTATACAATATGGGATATAATAATTTATCATTGCACATGCAGACAAAGGAATAGTCATTGCTAGCAGAGCCTTCTGCTATTTTTCAAGCTCATTTTTCAGATACCCATCTCCTCTTGCTAAGACAATTAAAGTCATCTTTATTTTGACTGAAACACGTAACATATGATAAGCTTTTAAATTGCTCAGGATTCCAAAATGCCCTACCTAGTGATTTCTGCTATATACGCTAACCAGACTGTTTCAGCTACTATGCACCAATTCACAATTTGTGAACTCCCCCACATTATAAAATCCCTTTTCATTTTTCCTTGCAACCCTAGTGCAGGGTCTGACATGAAGTTTTCAAATCTGAAAATAGACAGTAGCCAGGGTTGAGATGTGAAAGCCTTCTTTGTCATGAGGCAAAACCCAAATATTTCTTTTGTGAATGATAAAGGGCAACTCAAAACTGTTAAGCACAGGATTGACACAATCATTAGAAAATCACTGTGGAAGTTGTACAGGGTTAGGAAAAGGCCTGGCCTGCAGGTATGACCTACATAATCAATCTCATCAATAAAAACAGAAATAGGCTAAGAATTCTTCCTGATGAAAAAGTGCAAGTCTTTAAAATAATCTTTTAAATATTTTCAACAGCATATCTAACATTTGATTAATTGTCTTCAATTATATATAACATGAAAAAATTCTTAGAAAATGCAGACAGACAATAGAAAAACACTAACTTATCCATATCCCACCTCTCAGAGGTAAATCATTCACATTTTGAGGTACACAAGTCCTTTCAGACTTTTTCTTATATGTATGTTGAACGTATTAAAAAAGGAGAATAGGAGAAAAGGGTAAAGAGAAACTCAGACATGAAAATAAATATAAAAACTTTTTTTTTAAATCAGGAAGAGGAGGATCCAGGGATGGAAGTAGATGTACAAGGAACAATTCTCATAGGAGGTCTATAGATACAGAGCAATGTTGAAAAGTCAAGAACCCCCAAGAGAACTGAAAGTGGATACAATGAGGAGTGGACCTGGAGGTGGGAGAAGAGTACTGCATGGAGACTTTACTTCAAAAGGAAACAGCTTGACGTATAATTCACATGCCACACAAGCTACCTTTTAAAGTATGTGAATCAGTGACTATTTGTATACTTACAGTCATGCATTCTTCGCTGCAATCAATCTTGGAATATTTTCACTGTCTCAAAAAGAAGAAGAGAGAAAAAATATATTTTACACAGTGTTAAAAACCATTGGGAGAATATTTTCTGAAATCAGTAGTTTTCACTTCAAACTATGTGGCAAATAAAAGTATTAACATATAGTAAGCCAGATGTTATGCATTATTTTAGTTAATATAGACAATAAAGCTTTGAAGTATTACACTCAATTTAGAAAGCAGGAAACTGCAGCATTTTTAGGAGAGGTCACAGAGTTGGTAAGTTGTAAATCCTGGACTGTAAACTAAAGATCTACCTCCAGCACCTGGATTCTTCCAAGCAGTAAATACAGAAGCTTTAACTGTTCATTAGAAAATAGAAATGCAAACCACAATTATATAAAAGAATTCTAGTAATATGGAGTACCTCATCTTTAAACAGAACATGATTTTTGCATAGTATTAATAATTTTTAAAAGCAAAGTCCATGAGAGATAGAAATGATTCGTGATTCTACAGACTACAAAAGAAGTGATTACAGGGTGGTTTTTTTTTTTTTAGCTCTCAGTACTTTCAAGACATATTTCAATATAATGGCTGAGTTATATGCCAGGTGGCTTTTCAGAGATATGCTTTTACACAAAGCAAGACACTCCTAAATTTATATAAATGTTCTTTGTAAAGTACAACACTAGAAAATTAAACTACCTTTTACTGGCTACAGAGAAAGCCATACTTAAGCATTCTATTTAACTCTTCAGAATAGAAGGCTATCATAAGTATTTAAAGCCACAGTTTGGAGTCAAGAATTTAAGTCAAAATATTTAGCAAGTCTGTGTTTGTGTTCATTATTAATACATGTTCCTGTTAAGACTTTCCTTTTGATAGGGCTATTACAGATGGAAGAAGAAACTTCTGTTCATGCATGACTCCATATGGCAGTAAGAACCATATTCAGGGGGTTAAATTAAGCCAACTGTGGTAGTATTCATTTTCTTCTTTTAAACAGGTTCACTTAATGGTAAATCACTAAAACACATAAACATATTTCCCCTTCATTGTGTGTATTCATCAAAAAAGACAAAAATACTGTGTAATCTGCAAAGGTTGCATAGTAATTTATATTTTTAATTTTTGATACATTTTCACAACTACACAGCAGCTTATTTGCTTTCAAAAGCAAAATGTAATAGTAAATTTTGATATCAAGTCTACATCTATTTATTTCCATTAAAAAGTTGAAAATGGGGCCGTGGATTTAGCTCAGTAGTTCCGCCGCCTGCCTCGCAAGCACAAGGTCATGAGTTCGATCCCCAAACTATCATTGCAGGCTTCTTCACAGGTTTTCTTTCTATTGGTTTCTATTTAGTTCTAGAAACAAACAAGAGATTCAATTATTAACTCCTAGTTCATAACCAAAGTGATGAAGTTTTCACTGCTGAGAAATGCTCAAGGGACATAGTATATGCAAGACCATTCCACTAAATAAAGGCATTTTCAAAAGTGGTACAAAGTAAGCATTTAGTAAAAGTACATGCCAAGGGCCAGGGATTTAGCTCAGTGGTTCCACTGCCTGCCTTGCAAGAGCAAGGTCTCAAATTCATATCTGAATGAAGTACTACAAAGTTACCTCAATTAAACTTTTGTTTTTCTGTTATTCTTCTGTTTATGTTTTTTTGGTACCGGGGATTGAACTTGGGTCCTTGCGCTTGCGAGGCAGGTGGTGGCACCACTGAGCTAAATCCCCAGCCCTTTTCTGTTATTCTTGACAAAACGTATTTCATGAGCATTTCAACATGTTAAAATGTTATGTTGATCTGTGGGATAAATGCAAAAGATACAGTAAAGGAATGATCGGAGCAGCAGAAGAAGAGAGAAAAGAACAAAGAAAATGTTTTACATTCAGAATGACTGAGACATAAAATCATAGATTCCTATTCAAACTGCAGAAAAAAGACAAAGAGAAAATCTTTAAAGAAGTTGGGGCAGAAGTACCTTAGCTGGTGCAAGGATAAGGGCTGTATCATGCATCTCACTAGAAGCTATGCAACAAGAACAGAGTAGAATGGAATATGTAAACTGTTGAATGGAAAAACTCACCAACCTAGCATTCTATATCTAGTGAAATCCTTCAAAACTGAAATAGAAATAGACTTTCTCAGATGAATTGGAATTGAGGGAATTTATCATATTAAAAAAAAATTCTTCAGAGAGCAGCAAAATAATATAGGTCAGACACTTGGATCTATGCAAAGAAAGGAAAAGCCTCAAAGAAGGAAAATAAAATCTTTTCTTATACTATATTTACTTGAACAAAAATTTTATTCAAAATCATAATAGCAACATTATATTTAGTGATTATCACTCATTGATAAATGAACAGCAATGTCACAGGGACAGAAAGGAGGAACTACAACTATATTATTGTGAGATGCTTGCAGTACTCTTAAAGTAGTACAGTGTTATTTGGAAGTGGACTTTAATTAGTTCTAATTGAGTGTTTTATACTCTAGGACAACCACTCAGAAAGTTTTAAAATGATAGCTCGTACCTGGTATAGTCTGAATTGTATTGCCCCAAGTTTCTTATGCTGAAGACTTAAGTCCCAGTACTTCAGAATTTGACTGTATTTACAGATAGGGCCTTTAAAGAGGTAACTAGTGAAAATAATGGAATTAAGTGGAAGAGGAAATTTGGACACATTTCGATTTTGGACCGCCAGCTTCCAGAAAGAAAAGAAAATAAATTTCTTTTAAGCCACTCTGTCTCTAGTACTTTGTTATGACAGCCTTAGCAAACTAATACCACACCATAATATGGAAGAAGAAATGGAATCAAGTTAAGTGTTCTATTAAAAACAGCAAAACAGGAAAGCATTTCTGGCTGGAGTTATCAAAGATAAGAGGTGGAATTTTAACTGAGTGCTATTCATTTGACAAATGTTGATGTGCTCAATGTTCAGATACTATGCCAGGTGCTAAAAAAAAAACCCTAAGATCCATGATCAAATGAATTCTTTCATTTTATTCTATGGTGAAACTCAAAAGTGTGTATGTAAGTAAATATGTGTATGCATTTATGTATGTATATGTAACTAAAACAAAGTATAAAGTGAAGAGAACATCTCTGAAGAAGTGAATTTCAAGAAAGAAGCCTAAACCTCTCCAATGGTCCCTGGAACCTTTCAGAAAAATTTCAACAGTCAAAATATGACCTCAAAGTTCCTCATGAATAAGCTGCTGACTAAATTCTTAGCTGACTTTTACTGCTTATGTGGAAACTACATGTTAATTATTCTACCTTTCCCTATTTTTTTCATCCTTTCATCTATCCATCCATTCAAGGATTGACAGCCCACTACATACAAGGTAAGGAATGGGAACTGCAAAGGACAAATAAGGTCCCAGCCCTCGGGAAGTGTAGAGTCTCTAGAAGAATAAAGATATTGAACTAATTTGACAACTGTTTTATTATTTTTAATATACACAATAAACTATAAGTAGATAACGAGGAGTCCTTTGTTACTTCTAGGGATCTGACTTTACATTTAGGAAGTAGAAAGTACCCTAAATGTTTTACTATGACACATGGATGACAGAAGATAGAAGACAAGCCCTTAAAACATCCAGGAGCTTGGCACTTTAGAGAATGTTATGGCTTGTAGCTAGATGACCCCTGAAAGCCTCACATGCTGATAACAGGGGATTTTCAGAGGTGACTGGATCTAGGGTGTGTGAGTGTGGATTAAGGATGTAACAGTGGGATTAAAGGTGTGTGGTACTGGATTAGTCCATTAATTAGTTTCATAGTCCTAGGTGTGGACAATGGGAAGCCCCATCCTGGGTATGGGCAGCCCTACCCATAAGGTCTGTAGCCTGGATAGGATAAAAGGAAAACAGAGACTTGCTGCTTGCTGCTTCCTGCCTGCCACACCATGAACTGTTTCTCCTCTGCCATGCCTCTCTGCCATGTTGCTCTGCCTTGGAACCAGCCAACTATGGACTGAAACCTCTACAAACTGTGAGCTGAAATAAACCTTTCCTCCTTGTGTGTGTCAGGTATTTTGTCCCAGCAACAAGAAAAGTATGCAAGATAGTAAAGTTTCTAGGAGTCCATTAGCCAGGCACTTATATAATATTTCTACCAACGTGAAGGGCAAGGTGCTTTAGTTTGCACACTCTATCACTGAGAAACATGAAGATCACTTTGAATTCCAGAGACAACACACACTCTTGTTGAATGTCATTTGGGTCATTTACTGAGAAACCCATAGTGGTGATTGAATTCCAGAACAACTGGAAGCTCTGCAGCAAGTCCAAACCACATGCAAGATGATCTTGGGCCATGACTCAATGGTGTTTAAAATAGCACATTGGAATGTCCTCACAGTAGCAAATAAAAATGTCATGGAAATATCCTCAGGATTTGGGGAAAGAAACCAATCTTCTTCTGTTGGTAAGTATCATCCTTTTGAGAAATGGTTTCTGGGCGTGGTACTAGGCTGTCAGGACTGAATACTTGACTATGAGACACCAAGTAATCACGTTAGACAAGGAGTTTACCTGACTTACTGGGGCACAATATTATAAGTGAGACATGCAAGGTAAGGCTCAAGAGCTGGGGATTTAGCTCAGTGGTTCCAGTGCCTGCCTTGAAAGCACAAGGACCCAAGTTCAACCCCCAGTACCAAAAAAAAAAGGTAAGGCTCAAGTACTTTCCTCAGAACCTGTGGCACTTACATTTTTTTTTTTTTTTTTGGTTTTTTGAGACAGGATCTCACTATGTAGTTGAGACTGAACTGGAACTCACTGTGTAGCCCAAGCTTGTCTTGAACTCACAGCGATCCTCCTGCCTCAGCCTCCCAAGTGCTGGGATTACAGGCATGCACCACCACACCCGGCTTGTCTTGGCACCTACTTCTGTTGCAGTGGTATATCTCCCTCTCTCTAGACCTATGGCCTCATGGAGAATCCCCTAAAGCATGTGAATGAACAAGAGAAAATTTATTTCCAGATATTTCTTCACAACATGTTAGAGCAACTCAAAAGAGGATGGCTTCAGCATTACAGTCTCACAAAGAGCCCTAAAGAATTGAGATAATACATTCTCAAGTGGATAGAACATCACATTGTGTATCTAGTTGTCCACCTAGACTGGAAGAAGATACAACCAGTGGAGCAGCTCTACGCTGATATGTGGAGAGTGGCAAACAGTTTAGTCAGATAGTTAGGGACTTTGACAAAAATTATATATATGGACAAATTATAAAGGAATTAGCAAAATTTACAAACATGATAAATAGGCTTGGTGGCAAGGGTATGAGGAAAGATTTCTCTAAGTAGGCATAAATTCTGGTGCTATGTTCTACATGAATACTGACAAAATGGCACCTACTAAAGGAAAGCCTCTCGATAATCAGGGGAACAAAACATCCCATTTTTATGGCTACTAGTGAGGTTCTTCTCTTAACTATAACAATACTTGCTCAAATGGACTCATAAATAAGGTGGCCAGAGTTCATATCTATGTTCAACAACATAGGTTGTACCTCCAACTCCTCAAGCTGATGTGGCTAGAGTTATTACTAGGTACCCAATGTTTTAGCAGCAGAGACCAAGGTGAACCAACAAGCTATCTAATAGTAGGCTGTTTACAATGGACTCTTCAAAATGGTGAGAGTGGCTTAAACTTTCCCTGCTCCAATTTTTTTCCCACTATCCTTAGACAACTGTAATCCTTATTTACTTTCATGGCATCCCACTTAACTTTTGTGGTAATTTTATTTTCTAAAAATGGAAAAATAGTCTCTTCTGCAATGTGACATCACACTCTCCTATGGAACTCTCTCTATTCCCTAGAGCTTGGGCAAGTGCCAAAGTATTGACTTTTTAATATTGCAAACTGATGGCTGTGCCCTTAACTGGTCTGATCCCCCACTTCCTGTCACTTGGAAGCCAGTTTCCCTGGATGACTTTCTGAGATATGCTGTGAAAAACCCAGGATCCTGTATAAGATGCCACGTGAAGTGACTTACACAGGTGTCTAAGAACCAAGAGGGAGAGATTTCTATTACCATTACCCTTAGTGGATAACTCACAAGTCTTTTTGCTTAAGAAAGCAAAAGAGGTAAGGGTTCTGAGTCGTCTGTTGGAAACTTGGGATCACTGTCACCCAGACATCACCATTATCCCTTTCTAAATCTTATAATGTAATACAATAGCCTGAAACCAAAGAGCACAAGATTTTCAAAGCAGAAGAAAAGGGCTATTATTCTCCAGGAGATAGCTTCAAGTAGAAGCACATACAGCCAGTATGAGGTCTGCCACACACACAGATGTGTTTCTTGAGAAGTACTTGAGTAGTGCTAAGAAGCACTTGAGTAGAGAAAGCTGGTGGAGCATTCCAGAAGTTCTTGAGATTCACAGTAGCTTATGAACAAAGTATAATTACTTGTTTTCCTGCTGAAGTCTGAGAAAGTTGCTGACAGGTTCCTTTTACTACCCTCCACTTTCAAAGGATATGTAAACCCAAATGACCTATTTTAAACTCTATTTAGAATAAAGTGTGATTGCTATTTTCCTGACAGGATCTTAACTGATACCCTTTATAACACACTAATCTTTTATTCTGCAAATTTATCTAACATTTAGCTCAGAGAACTGTTCTACAATAAAAAACAGGATACAGAAAGAGGAAAAATTTAGAGAGGCAATCATGCTCACTATTGGCGTTCGGGTGCCAACCATCCCAAACCTGCAATCACTTGACAAACTCTGTAAGATTGGTTGAAGTTACTATTAAAGTTTGGCCACCTTTCAATTCCTGAGATCTGTTAAGTAAGCTATTTTATTCTTAGGCCTTTACACATTTCCAACATAGGCTTTTCCCCTGCTTTTCACAGGGAGAGTTCATTCTCCTCTTTCATTTGTTCACTCAAGTAACATCACCTGGGGTGGATTTCTCTGACCACACTGTCTAAAGCTATCCCCTTACCCCAACAGTGTTATCATCCGTACCTTGCTTTTGCCTTTTGTGCAATGTTTTTTTTTTTGTTTTTTTTTTTTTTTTTTGGTACCAGGCATTGAACTTGGGATCTTGCGCTTGTGAAGCAGGCAGTGGAACCACTGAGCTAAATCCCTGGCCCCAATTTTTTAATTATATATTTGTCTATTTTCTTGAACATTGTCTGCTATCACAAGGTAAGTCCCACAGGAGGGACCTGACTGTCCTTCACTGTTGAACACCCAGCAGCTAGCACTGCCTTACATGCACTGGTATTTATTAAAATTTATGGAATAAACAAAACTGCTTGGAGTCATGTTCTTTCAGGAATAATATTCATTCTTCTCCTACAAATCTAATATATCATCTTTTTCACTGTCTTTTTTACACACAGATGATTTGGGGGAATTCACTCAATAGAAACTAAAGCACCTAAAGTTAGCAGACATCAGTTAGGGAGTTACTCTTTTATATTCCTTCCTGAAACTCAGATTATCCATCTCTACAAACATTATATTGCAAATTAAGAGCATAATTCAATATTTAACAAAGTTCATTTGTTATGGGTAATTTTGGCCTGATGTTAATTTTTTTTTTTGGTACCGGGGATTGAACTCGGGTTCTTGGGCTTGCAAGGCAGGCCACTGAACTGCTGAGCTAAATCCCCGGCCCAGGCCTGATGTTAATTTTGATGGATCTCAGACATGGCTTAAAACTTGGATATAGGAAGAAACTTGAAAATAAAAGGTTTTGTTGTTGTTGCTGTTTTTCTTTTTTACAAAATTTCTGAAATGAAAAAATGACTATTTTGTGGTGCTAGGGATTGAAGTCAAGGCCTTAGACATGCTAGGCAAGTGCTGAACCACTAAGTTACATCTCCCATCCCAAAATAATTATCTTGAGAAAAAAGAAGGTATATCCTTTTCTGTTAGATATCAAAGAGGTCGCAGATTAAACTTTTCCAGTAAAATGAAGCTTCTACACTTTAAAAAACTTTTCAGTTCTAAATTCTGAAGCCTTAGTCTATCGTCATTATCTCCGTCATAATCACACTGAAAAAAATTGGTCATCCATGAAAAGGCCTATTATTAAGGAAATTCCTGATAGGTTGACATCTTCAGCACTAAGAAACACTCATTGCATCATGGAGAGATACTGAGCTCCCAGAATCTCCATATTCAGATCCCAGATTGGTTCTTACTTGCTCAAAATGTTTTTCTCTTCTTTTCTAAAGATTACATCATGGATCTCCTGGGGCTCTGTGATAGAAAGAAACAGGGCAGAGGAAAACAATGTTTGGGACTATGAAATGCCAAATAAATAAAATATCACTTAGCAACAAAACCCATGTGTCACCAGAATCCTCACTCCCTTATCTTCATGAACTTTACTATTAGAAGAAGCTGGTCATTTCAAGTTTTCTTCATTATCACCTTGACAACTTTGTCAGTTGAAAAAATGCTCATGATTTAACTATGAGAATAATTGTAATAGCAACAAAATGTTTTTAGAAGTGTTATATAATAGACCAGCATGTTTGGAGTATTTAGCTCAGTCTTAGTTTACTATGGTGTTTTAATGACTAGTAAGATTGTTTAGGCATAGAAGTAACTTCTGTGACTAAAGTATAAGTCATATAGTACTCTACAACTTAAAGGTGTTATTACCTGTATTTTCTTATTTTTAATCCCAACAATTGGAATAAAGAAGTAATAGAAACGTCAAGTAGATATAACAATAAATGTCAGTGGCTTTCATGATGTTTTTGTGATTTTTAAAAGTTTTTTGTATGAATTCTTGTATTTGAGGAAATAGGCCAAGACAAAGGGTATACCAAACATCCCAATATTGAATGTCTATGTTTTAAAGTAAAATATGTATTTTTAACAAAAAATATAAAGACGGGCATTGTTCTTGTTGATTTTTTTTAAGAATTTAGATCAAGAATGTCCCCCAAAGGTCTCAGGTGCTCAGAGGTGGTGCTTTTGGGAGGTGACTGACAGTGATTGGAGTTGATACAGCTGACTTGCTGTTAGAAGAGGTAATATCACTGCAGGGGTCTAGAGGGTCTACCATTCTCCTGTGGTGCAACCCCTGCTTCTGCAGTCTTGCTCTCACTCAGGTGAAGAATGCATAAATGAAGCTAGGCTGACTTAAGAAAATACTAATTAGAAGGAGAAACTCAGATAATGTAAGTAGTGTGTAACAGAAGTTTACTTATAATATTATGAAAGCAGGGACAAAGCTGTCCAGCAAGTTTGCTCTGCAGGGAGAGCTGGAAAGTGAGGATGGTTTTCAGGATGGTTTCCCTGTTCTGCCCATTTTTATAGAGGCTTTAAGCCAACCAGGGCCTTAGCCTTTGTTGCTGGTATGAGCTTGTTGCTAGGATGGGCTAAGGTTTATGGAGTTTTAGGGGGTTTCCAGTGTATAAAAGTGGGTCTCTAAGATTAACTTCTACACCTGTAAAGGCTTCACAAAGGGCAATTCCCAGTAACCAAGTGGTTATTTCTATAGCTGTCTGCCATGTTAGCCATGCCCTACAACTCTGCCTGTCTCTCCTTCTCACCATGTCTATATTCCCCCCTGACTTGATCATCTTACTGCCACAGGATGGGGAATAGGTAGGGGTCTTGTCTTTACTCCCTTGGCGGTTGACACTTGGTTGGATATTGGGCTTGTGGCCAGGAGTTTGGTCTAGTGGGTTAATAGGGGAATGTGAGTAGGCATGGCAACCTGTACTAGGAGGGACAGTGTTGCCTGCACAGAAGTAGGTGCCAAAGCCAGACTGTCAGCTCGAAACCACAGAGCTGCTTGAAAACTGTGTGCTGCTCATCACTCAGAGCCTACATTTTCTAACCTCTAAAGAGGGCTTGGGTCTTTTAATATTCCCCAGAGGGCCCTTCAGACCCTACAGAGGTAAAGCCAGTTAGGGCGGAGCACTGGGGCTCCAAGTGGAAAGGCCTATCTCCCTTCTGGCTCCTCCCTTCCCTCTCTGCTTCCTGGCTACCCTGACCTGAGCAGCTTTCCTGCACTCAGGCCCTTCCTCCAAGCCATTTCTGTGCTTAAGCCTGTCAAACATGGACTGAGGCTCTGAAACTGTCAGAATGGCACTACTTAATGGAGGAATAAGCCTGTTTTTTGTAATGATACCACACGTACACAAGAACAAACTGAATACTAAACTCTTGTCTTGTATAATGTTATCAGAAGGCAAACATCAAATAAAAATGGAGTACATAAAAATACACAATGTTGATGTGAGCAGAATAATAGAGTGAAGAAATAGATTACAGATCATCTCCAAGTCACAGAAGTCATTAAAATCACCTTGATATTCTCCTTCCCCCCTAAGATGCTCAACATATACATGAGGCTTTTCTGTGTAGAAAGTGTGGAACATTCGAAAAAAATATAACAGATCTGGGATCTGGGAATACATAAGGCCATCTGTATAGTCTTCCAGTTTTAATGTAATTTTAAAATGCTATAGTATTTTACCATATAGTCATTTAAGCTATTGATTATATTTATCACACATTTGTGATACATAAGGAATATATGGATCATGGGAAGTTTTACATATAAAAATTGCACCTTAGTCTTTTTTTCTTTTCCTTTCCCTCTCTTCTCCATCCTCCTTCAGCTCTAGAACCCCTTCCTATCTGCAAAAGGACACCTCCGTTTCCTATCATCTATCTTTTATGTTCCCTTTATATTTTATACTTGGGTTTGTCATATAAGAGAAACCATGTGATATTTAACCTGTATCGGATTTAATAATTAACATTATGATCTCAATATTTGTTATATTCTATTGTCAAAAAATGTGAGATCCCTTAAGTCTTTTGACAAAAAATCACTCTAAATTTTTCATATTCTATTCTTCTTATATTACTAAGGGATTCTAAATTTGAATTCTTAACTGTTTTAGACCTCAGTTCTTATCTGTAAAATTAAGTTAAATTAATTACACAGTATTTTAAAATTTGAGTTCTATACACAGATCATAACCGAAAAAACTTTGAACTTAGAATAACCATACACATATAACTCAGACCTTTAAATTAACTAGAAAGTGGGCATGTATGTATGTATATGCAAACATACAGGGAAATTAACTTTCTGAAATACCAAGTGAAGATTTAAGGACCATGTTTTTATATATGTAAAGAAATTCAAAAATTTCACTAATTTTTAAGGTAAAAATAAAGTCCTCGGGGGCATATTTCTGAGGGTGCTGCTGCCTTGAGATCTGGCCCCCCAGTCAGGATTTATTTCCCATTGCCCTTAGGAAAGGACACAAGGTTCTGATTGAGAGGTTAAGACTCGCCAATTAAGTCAAACTTGTCCTTGCTATCTACATTCCACTCATTCACTGCTTCATTCCAGAGCTCCTCATAGGGTAAGGCTTGTCTGATTTTATTTCTTAAACCTGCCCCATCTTGCTTCTACAGTTTTGTGAAACCTCCATTTTCCGTCTTTTAAAACCAGAAGGCCAATATCCAATCTTTGCGAATACACCCATAGGGAATAACGGTAGTTAATTTGCATTTTTCATTTACATTTCTCAACTGATTTTACATTCGATGGATATTTACTTCCACAATCATAAACTCTACTTTGAATGCCACACATATGTTTATATTAAACACACCATGAGCTTAACCTTTTTTTTTTTTTTTTTTTGAGACAGGGTCTCGCTATGCAATTCAGTCTGGCCTCGAACTCACTGTGTAGCCTAGGTTGGCCTCAAACTCGTAGGGATCCTCCTGCCTTAGCTTCTTCCCTAGTTAAATGCTGGGATTACAGGCATGAGCCACCACGCCAGGCAAAAGTTTTTCAAAGCAATTTTTTAAGCGTTGATGAAAAAAATAACTGAACCAAAGGCAGTTTTCTATCACAAAAGCGGGGGGGACACCTTAATACATGAAAATTTGAATTACATAATTTCAAAATCCGACTGGATTAGAAAACTCAGTTTATTTTCTACAAATATTATTTGTAGCAGGACGAATACCTACTGCGAACCATTTCTCAGGACCTTGATTTTTTTACTACAAAATTGACACAGCACTCACCAGACCTTGAATAAAGTGAGATACACTACATACAGAAGCTAGAAAACACTTTTGCTTCCTCAATCCAGAGAGCGAATTTTTCCCTTACTTTCCTTTTTCACTCTTTAATTTAAAAACCGTTTTTAAAAGCCTGCTTTCAATTTCGCTAGTCCCAACCTGCACACGGGATAAAAGGAGGTCACTAACACGGACAAACAGGGACTCACTCTGCCCGGACGGGTGTGGACCTCGTCATTCCCCGGGCCACTAAGGCGAACAGCTCCCAAAAACGCCCGAACTGGGCGTCGGAAAGGACCCGCGCCTCGGTGAAACTTTCTTGTAGACGCTTCAGGGGACCTGGCTCACAGGAAGTATTTTGGGTACCCCTCTCTCCTCGGTTTTGAGTGGATTAAAAGTTAAAATTAAAACAAATCAGCGGCCTAAGGTGACTGCAAACGAACACGTGGCTACTCTCACGCCGAGAAACTCAGTCAGCCGGCCGCCCCCGCCTCCCCGGCCACAGAGTTAGGGGCCACCGACCGGGAGGGCGTCCCGCCCCGGCGCCGGT